GCCGCCGCAGCACGCGCCGCCGCAGCCGCAGCGGCACCCGGCGGCGACGCCGCGGCGGCGGCGGCGGCAGCCGCGGCGGCTGCTGCCGCGGCGACGGCCGAAGAGGCTGCTGCGGTTGCGTTGGGGGGCGGGGCGGAGGAGGGCGCGGCGGAGCCTGAGCGGCCGCTTGACCTGTTCAAGGCGATCTTTGAGGCGGAGTCAAGTGAGGACGAGGAGGACGAGGACGACCAGCAGCAGCAGCAGCAGCAGCAGCAACAAGAACAGCAACAAGAACAGCAGCAGCAGCAACAGCACGAACAGCAGCGAGAAGAGCGGAACAAGCAGCTCCAGCGGGGAATTGAGCAGCAGCAGCAGCAGCAGCCCTGGGGCCAGCCTGGAACCAATGGTGTGCGGCCACCAAGCAGCGTGCATGCTGAAGCCCAAGGTGCGAGTGTGTCCCGCCTGAGGGGAGAGCAGTACGCCCGACTGGCATGAGTGAGTTGGCCGTCCCAGCAGCCCAACCTTACAACCCTGCGGATGCGCCAGGGTTTGCAGCATATCATTGCTCGCCGCATGCCAATGGAGCGGCCTGTGCGTGTTCCGGATGCACACGCCCGGCAACCCCAAAACCGTCGCACCCCAAACACATGCCATCCGCAGGCCTGGCAGAGGCGCTCATGCGCGGCAAGGAGCGCACTGCCGGCCCGGGCGCGGCCGCGTTCGGGGCGGCGGCAGCGGCGGCGACGCCTGAGCAGCAGCGGCGGCAGGAAATCCTTGATGCGCTGGCGGCGCTGAAGAAGAAGGGGAAGGACAAGAAACGGAAAAAGGAGAGAAGCAAAAAGGACCGCAAGGAGAAGGGCAGCAGCAAGGACAAGAAGCGGCGGCGCGAGGGGAAGGAGAAGGGCAGCGGCCGGCGCAAGGAGGGGCGACGACGCAGCAGCAACGGCAAAAAGCGGCGGCGTAGCGGCAGCGGCGGCTCGCTCAGCGATTCGGGCTCCGAGGGCTCTAGCGGCACCAGCAGCGGTGACGCCTGACCGATTGGCGCCACACACGGCGACGGGTTGCGTCTTGCCGCCGCCTGTAATTGTTGCATACTATAGCACGCGAATTTCAGAATAGATCAGGCCTTCCGCATTTACAGCCGTGCCAACCGCTTCAGCAAGTCCTTTCAGCGAGCATTGCATGGCGACTACAGCCGCTTACAATGGGGCCGACGGTGTGTATGAATACGCTTATATGCGAGGATCTAGCAAGCCGGGCGCGCTGGGCCCCCTGGCACGGGTGGAGGTGATGGGCGCAGCTACGCAGCGGCTCGGGCCGCCCCGCGACAGCCCTGCCCCCACTCTCGGCCGCACGCCAAGCCCCCTGCTCGCCCTTGCGACCCGCCATCCGCCACGCAGCACCAGACGAAGCGGCGTCAGAGCCGTCCAGCGCAGAGGCGGTGCCGCTGCCAAAGCCGCGGTGGTTCACGCCGCTGCGCCTGCTGCTGATCTTTTGCTTCGCAAATGTGATGGTGTACCTCGACAGGGGTGAGACAGCGGCAGGCCGCTTATTACATTGCACTTGGGGCGCGCCTGCTTACTGAGCAATGTCGGCTCGAGCGTCACACAAGCGCACTGCAAGGCGCGCTCGCCGGCGCGCCCGGTTGACCCCCGTGCTGCACCCTGTTGCTGGCCCACCCGCTGCGCCAACCCGGCCTGGCACCCCGCCTGCGCCGCAGGCGTCATCGCCAGCAACGGCGTGAACGGGTCCCCGCGCACCGCAGAGGACCCCAAAGGCAGCGGCATCCAGGTGCGGCTGGCGCCAAACCCCCCGCGTCGGACGCCTCGAACCCGCACTCCGAGGCCCCAGCACTGCCTGCCCTTGGGGCGGCCGTCCCGCGGCACGCGCGACTGAGGAGAAGGCAAGCGGCTCGCGTGCTCTGACCCCGTAGCCTGACTGCCGCACACCCCTCCCTTGGCTTCCTGGCCCCCAGGGCGACTTCAATCTGAGCAACGCAGAGGACGGCCTGCTGGCAACCGGCTTCCTGATCGGCCTCCTCATAGCATCCCCGATATTTTCGGAGGCCTGCAAGCACTGCAGCGCGTTCCGGCTGATCGGCATCGGCATGGGCACCTGGGTCCTCGCCGTGGCGGGCTGCGGGCTGTCCTTCAACTTCGGGTCCCTGTTTGCGTGCCGCATGTTTGTCGGTGTCGGGGAGGCGTCGTTCGTGGCGCTGGCGTCGCCGTTCATTGGTGAGGCACCGCAGTGTTGTGTGGGTGTGCGTGTATGTGTGCGTGTGTGTGTCAGTGCATGCGCGTATGCGCGTGCATGCGTGCATGCATGAATGCACGCGTACTTGCTTGGTTGTGCTTGTGGGGGTCTGTGGATGTGCGTATGCACGCATGCGGACGCGTGGCACGTGCGTGCTTATGTATGTACGTACACGGCAGGCTGCTTGTGGGCGCCTGATTGCGCGAGTGCTGGCCAGCACACGCGAGGTCTGCGCACACATCTTCATAGGGGCCGTTTGAATGACCTCAAGCTGCTGATGCCACCAATCAGCCCCCTCCAGCCCATCACCACGGTGCCTTGCTGCGCCCCCGCGCTCGCCCCGCACCGCCCCGCAGACGACTACGCGCCCCCCGAGAAGAAGGCCAAGTGGTTCGCCTTCTTCTACATGTGCATCCCGGCCGGCTACGCCCTTGGATACGTCTACGGCGGCCTCGTCGCCGCGGCGCTGGGCTGGCGCGCCGCCTTCTACATCGCGGCCGGCGTGATGGTGCCGTTTGTGGCGCTCATGTTCCTCTCGACGCCGCTGCACCTGCACGGCTCGCACGACGCCGGGCCGGGTGCGCGCCGTGCTGCGCTGCCTGGCGCTTTGTGTCTCCTGGAGCGGTCCGAGGGGCCGCCCTGCCCCGGCGCACCCAATCTCATAGCCTCCATTGGGCCCTCATGCTTAATGGCGCTGCTCAACCGCCTAATGTGTTCCGCTTGCGCCGCTTCCATCGGGCACTCATCGCTGCGGGTTTCTCACCGGTCCAACCCACTTAAAACCCCCCCAAAACCCCTTTCCACAGACCCCCACCGCCCCAAGGGCGTGAAGGACGTGACTAAGGAGTTCTTCGTCGACACCGCGCGCATCTTCAAGCACCCGGTGTGGGTGCTGATGGTGGCCGGTTACACCTGCTACGCCGCCGTCATCGGCGTCTTCGCGTTCTGGGGCCCCAAAGCCGGCAAGGAGATCTACGATCTCAAGGGCACCTCGGCAGATCTCATCTTTGGCGGCGTCACCGTGGTCACCGGCGTCATCGGCGGGCTGGGCGGCGGCGCGCTCCTGGACTGGATGGGGTCGACGCTGCGCAACGCCAACCTGATCTGCGTGCTGGCCAACTGGGGCGGCCTGGCGATGTGCCTGCTGGCCTTCCTGGCGACGCGCAGCTTCTACCTGTTCATCGCGCTGTTTGCGGTGGGAGAGCTCCTGCTCTTCTGCATCCAGGCGCGTCCGGCGCCAGCGATGCTGTTGTGTATGTTGTAGATCCCCTCACATGTTCGGCTTTGTCTGCAGGTAGCATGGTGATGCCCCACGACTCGCTCGGCATGCGCCGCCATCCTCGCTCCCGCGCACGGCCCGCGGCCCTCCCCACCATCCCTCCCGTCTACAATCGATCCAACCC